CTGTGCCAGACTTTGCTGACCTGGTTTGCATAAATTTACCCCATGTCTCCCAGTGCTATTTCACCCTCGACAGACTGCACGTGCATTCCTGAGACGCTGGAGAAGTTCTTTCTGAGAGTATAAAATCTTGCCCCATAGGCATTTGTTGGTCCTCACCCTACTCCATTTCTTGATAAATGATTTCATTTATGTGATTTCTTCAGTGATACGTTATAAGCAAATGGTTGCCAAGATTTTAACTATAGTTCAGATTTTAATCTGGTTTCTGCTGGTGAAATTTGCTCTGGGAAATCTCACAAAGTTCTTGTAAGTATCGGTGTCACCTGTGGCACCTTCCTCTCCTTACACCTGAAGTTTGTAACCATCATTCTTAGTCTATTATCGATTCCACTAGTTTTCCCCGCTTAACTATTCATTGACCCCATTTTCTTCTGTTCTAACCCACTCAGCCCTTAGTCTAAGACTGCACTATCTTCTGTCATGATCGCCACAACAGCCTCTTGTTGCACTGAAGAGAGGTCTTTTTGAAGGACAGGCATGATCAGTCAAGTCCTTTTAGTAATTTCCCATCAGCTTTCTGGTATATAACTTATTTCCCATGGCCTTCAGTTTCACCTGGTCCACTCTTTCCTCTCCTCAGCTTCACTTGTGCTTTCTCTCTTCTTGTAGGTCATTGCTCCTCCCAAACATGTCATTATTTTTCATCAACAGTTTACTTCTCGCAACTCTATTTAGTACACACATATGAATTCTTCGTTCTCAGCCTAGAAAGCGTTTTCTAAGGGAACTTTGCTGCTTCTCATCCCTCAACTCAAACAAGAATAAGACTATGTATTCTAAGATCTCATTATGATCTGTATGCTTTCATTCTAGAGCCTGCCACTGTCTGCCATTATTTTTATCACTATTTGGTTGATATCTGCCACTTTATTAGAATGTAAGTCTTATGTGAATGGTCACTTCTTATTTTTTTGTTTTTCCCCATCATACTCAGTTTCTGGAGATACAGTGTATATGTTAGATGGATGAATAAATGGATACTAAGAAACTTAATCAAGGCTAAAGAGATGGCTCAGAGATTGAGCACTGGCTACCCTTCCAGAGGTCCTGAGTTCAAGTCCCAACAACCACATGGTATCTGGTAACCATCTATAATGAGATCTGGTGCCCTCTTCTGGCCTGCCGGCATGCATGCAGGCAGAACACTTACATAATAAACATATAAATCTTAAAAAATTTAAAAAAGAAAACTTCATCTTTATAGTAATTTTAAAGATACATACTAATCATTCTTATTTCATAAATTAAAAACCAAGCCTTCAAAATCGTGTAACATGCCTGATACTGTCCAGGTTAAGTAAAATAGAGCTAGAATTTAATTATCTAGTTTAGTATGTTTGTTGAGATAAAAATATATTTTAAAGAATTTAATTAGATTAGACATTTTGTTACAGTATCCTGTAATTTAAATTAAAAATTATGTTATCATGTGAATGCTCACTTTAAAACTATTAAAAAAACCTTATAGTTAAATAAACAGAATGTGTAATTGATATATATATATATATATATATATATATGGTATTAAAATGATGACAGATGACATTTCAATAATCTTGTGAGAAAATATTAAAAGGAGAACTAGCACTATGGTAGATATTAGTTATATAAAGGTGTATATGAATACAGAAAGAAGAGTTCTGTGAGCAGGTTTTTCTTTGGTTTATAGTATTATATAGTATATAGGTAATTTATTTATTTCTTGTCATATTCTCTCTTTGCCCAGTTTTCTATGGTGCTAATTTAGTTTTTAAATATGTTCTTATTTAAAATATATTTATTTTTTGAACTTTTTCAAATGATAATAGGGAATATTTATTAAGATAACTCAAAATCTTACCCAGTCCTTTTAATATATGGTCTGATCATATTCTGTTAGCTCAAGGGCTGCTAAGTATCCACTTTCTCACAGGTGCTAAAAAAAATTCTTATATCTGCTTAAGATTTCCCTTATATCGGTAAAGATGTTTCATATCACAATGGAGGTCAAGGGAAAGAACAAATAGCTCCTCATTCATTAAGGAAGTTTATTGAAATAAAATTATACCCACACAAAACTTATTGAAGAGGTCACTGATCAAAATTTTAAAAATGATTCTTTGCATTATACTTGACAGTAAATAGTTACTTCATTTTCCATTTGATACCTCACCATATATATATGTATATACACACATATATGTATGTATGTATGTAATAGTAGAGAACTGATATACATTCATAGTTATGCTTCATTGAGAAACCTGATCTCAAAGTCATCTGTAGCTTGCCCTCATATCTGTGGCAGACTCCCTTCCTGCCATCTGGGAAACACCAATACATTACCCTTGTTACTCACTTTGCTATTGCCTTTGTGAACAAGGAAAATAGATCATGTTGTATCTTTTTCATAGGATTTCTTACCAAATACAGCAGCAACATGAACAGAAGAAAACCCTGCTGTACTTTTAAAATGCAAGATAAATTTCAGTTCTATTTTATTATCTGGAACTAGTCATTTGAGCGTTTGCCTACCTTTTGTCAACCTCCTATCATAAACGTTGAAATGTTTTCGATTGTGAACCTAGTAAGAAGTGTAAAAAAGGAAAACCTACAATTTCCCAGCTGCAGTCGGCCAGTAAGATGCAACAGATACTTTCTTGCTCTGTGCATGTACTGTTCAGTGCAGTAGCCACCAGTCACGTGTGACTGTTAAATGCTTGAATGGGAGTTGATAGGATTGTGGCTCATCATTGTGAATTTAAAATAACAGCTGTATTGATATAAAGTTCACCTGATTTGTCCTCATAAGGGTATAAATAAGTGAATTTAGAGTGTTCACAGCTGCACAGCCATCACTACTATCAAATTCTGAGAATTTCCATTACCCTTCCAAAAAGTCAAAAACTCATTAGTTATTCCTCATCATCTATCAACCTCTCCAGCCCTATGTAGCCACTATATTTTCGATCTTCAGGGATTTATCTATTTTGGGCATTTCATATGAATAGAATTATAAAATGTAATCTTTATGTTATTTTCTAACATAAATTTAATTGTCAAATGTGCCCACTGACTACCATAAGAGCAACTGGAGTGAAAGGACAAAAGACTAATTGCTAAGGGATGATGAAAGTACTGCCAGGGGGCACATGGACAATGAACAATACAGAGACATGGGAAATTAATATGAGCAGGGGCCCGAGAAGGTGACAATTGTCCTGAGCAGCCAAGGAAGTACCTATTCAATATAGAGATAGGGCCATACAATGGCAAAGGCTTGGCAGTATGGTGCTGTGCATAGGAAGAGGTAGGTTCCATTTTTTTTTTGGTATGTAGGAGTGGAGAAAAGGAAGAAAAATTTGTGTTGTGTTGGTGATATTTCAGTGGAGGCAGAAGAGACAAATTCTGTGGAAGAGAAAAGACTAAAGCCAATTGAGAAAAAAAAAGTGCTCTAAGGTACTAAAAGGTTATCAGAATAGATGTAACACTTGCCAGAGTAGAGAGATGTTGTCCTTCTCAAAACAGTGTTTAGTGAAGGAAAAAGCAGATGAGTTTACAGAGCAAAGCTTACTGTGGAAGAAAGGAAACTCAAAGAGCTTGTCAAGAAAGAACTGATTGGACAGTTGGAGGGTAAAGTTTGCTTTCCCCAATTACACTAAAGTTACATGTGGGGGAAAGTGGGTGGAAAAGATCTCGAATAGAACTGGGCTGTTTGGTGGTGAAGCTGCTAGTCTGAGGGTCTCTCCATCTGAGCCTATCCCTAAAGAGCAGTTGGCAGTTTTACATACTTAAAGCAACATGAGATCCAGATTCATCTTGATGTGTCAGTTTTCACTACTGAAGAATGAAAATCACCCAAAAGTTATGCATGCGATCTTTAAAGTTGCAGCTCCAACTCTTTATTTCCCCTTTCTTCCTTTTTCTTCCCTTTGTTACCCCTCTTCCCTTCCCTCCTTCCTTCCTTCCTTCCTTCCTTCCTTCCTTCCTTCCTTCCTTCCTTCCTTCCTCCCTCCCTCCCTCCCTCCCTCCCTCCCTCCCTCCCTCCTTCCCTCTCCCTCCCTTCCTTCTTTCCTTCTTTTTCCGGGTGTTGTGGCACACATCTTTAAAAACTAATTTATGTTTATTTAATATGTATTAGTGTTTTGCCTGCATGTATGTCTGTATGAGGATATCAGATCTTGTAGTTACAGTTGTTAGCCGCCATGTGGATGTTGGAAACTGAACACTGACCCTCTGGAAGAGCAGCCAGTGCCTTTATCTGTTGAAGCATCTCTTCAGCCTCTTTTCAGTCAGTGGGGAGATGGTGACACAGCTTGAGGCTGTTGCCCTCAGCAGTCTGAAAAGAGCCTTTATGAGTCTTGACTCATGTAAAACTGAATCTTTGACTTTGGTGCAGAAAGAGTCAAGTCTGAAACTGAGTTGGGGTTTATTAACAGATACTTCAGAATAGATATTAAGCGCAAGAGTTAAGAGAAAGTAAGGTACTCTGGGAGAAAGTAGACACGCCCGAGTTTCACTCCCCCTTTTCTCTTTATTGGTTCTTCTTTCTCTGTATAAACAGTTGACTTTCTGCCATACAAAGTTCTACGAGGAAAAATGGAAACCAAAAAAAAAAAAAAAACCCACAAAACTTTGAAATATCAAAAGTCAGTCTACAGTGTAATGAGGGTAGAATTTCCAGTCATGAAACAGTAGCCTAGCATTTCCTTACATTGTCACTGTTTCTCATGTTGTAGAAGGTAGAAGTGGTGTCAGGAAGAAGCTCAACAGTCTTAAATGAAAAAAAAATGCAGTTATAAGATAACAGATATGCACTAGGTTGCTATTGAGTTGATGGATAGCATCATTTAAGTATATTAAGTTTACAATAGGGTTATCAGGAATTTAAGCTAACTATCTGATCTTGCCCATGTACAGACATACACTTACATATGTATTTCTTGTACTTTTTTTTAAAGGCTTTTAAAACCAAGGATGGCTATCTTGTCATTGGAGCAGGAAATAACCAACAGTTTGCTGTTGTCTGCAAGGTAATCCATAATCACCAGAATGGGTGGATGGCAGGATCACCTGTTCATTTTGTACAAACTGAGGGAGAGTTCAACTTTGCCTGACAGTGTTGCTCAGCTATAACTACTTCAGTTTCCTGTGTTAGCTCCTGAGAGTACACTACTTGATGCAAATGGTGAGAAGTAGGTCTGGTAGACACTCCCCTTTCTTCTTTCTTTCTTCCTTCCTTCCTTCCTTCCTTCCTTCCTTCCTTCCTTCCTTCCTTCCTTCCTTTCATTCTTTTTTGCATTTTGTATGTGTGCATCCAAGTTAAGTATGTGGAGGTATCCTGCTGCCTTGTGGGTTCTGGAGAATTTTTGTTGTTGCTTTCGTTGTTGTTGTTTTGATTTGATGTAGTATCTCGTTTAAATAAGAAGTTGTAACTTAAAAATTTCTCAATTAAAAAAATTTACATTTTAATTAAAATATAACTGTATCATTACTTTTTTCTCCCTCCAACCCTTCTCAATCCCTCTCAAATTTATGGCTTTTTTTCTTCTTCTTGCTATTTTCTTATTATTGTTATGTATATATTATATATAGCTATATATATACACACACATATGTTATATACATAACTTTTCTCACCTTTAGAGGGATTTTTAGTCCTGGAACTTTTTTTCCTTTCCACTCTGCCTCCCCCATTTTTCTCTTTTCTCTATATCATATTTAATTAGGCCCATATATAATTGAAGTGTTTGCAAATTAACCTTATATTGTGCTAGCAATTTAAAGGATTTCTTCAGTTACCTTTGTTTAATGCATAGATTTCTGTGAAATTCATGCTTAAATATTTTAGAAGTTAGAGTTATATTAGAAATGTTTCTAAAGCTTTGAAATACTTGAGCCAATTTAGGTTAGGAATATGCCAAATTTTCAACATTGCCTGGACAGTTTTTAATGTTTTCATCTTTTCTCTCAATTTTAGATCTTCTGTTTTAAGACGTTTTAAAAAGTAAAGTACAGAATTTTGTAAATTTCAAAACATCACATAAACTAGTTTAAATCCATGAAATATAAGCTAGTTAAAATATATTTGTTTTTATTTCTATTTTTCTTGCATATAAACAAATGTTTCGCCTATAAAAACCTTTTTCCTGATTGCGAGAGGATTAGATTTTTACCAACTATGTGACCATAAGCTTCCTGTCTTATTAAGGATTCCTGAACTCCTACGAGGAATCACTTTCATTATAGTATTTAATTTATTATGTACAAGAATTATTTATCATGATCCTCCCTTTGTTTGAGAGGTTAGCAAATAAGGAGAGCTAAAACCACAACAAAGAGGTGGACATACCATAGGAAAGGTGGCAAGTGGTGACGGTTCCTGGCTCCCACTGCAGGAAGGGCTGGCATCGCTGCGGTGGGAAAAACCATAGGAAAAGTAAAAGTGGCCATGGCTCTGACTGCAGGAAGGGCTGGCATAGCTGAGGGTGGAAGGAGGGAAGCTTTTATAATAGTGACTCAGGGAGTGTAGAGAAAATTGATTCAAACATTTGATCTGGGATCAAAGAATCTTTATTATAAATGGTCAGCTTTAAAAATATGAACCAAACGGGAACTGTTGCCTGTGAGGTCATTTACGCACTCAACTACAGAGTTGGAGGCTGCAGCTCTACTCTAAACAACTACAGATTTGCCTTCTGTGCCATATGTTCAGCGCTGCTTTCTCTCTCTCTCTCTCTCTCTCTCTCTCTCTCTCTCTCTCTCTCTCTCTCTCTCTCTCCCTCTCTGCCTCCCTCCCTCCCTGTTCCTCTCCTCCCTCTCTCCTCAGGTTGACATGTTCTTTATTATTAACTTTGTTTTTTAATTTTTGATTCATTACTGCTGATTACTTTGAAATGTTTAAATGTCTTCATAAATATCTATAAGAACACTTTTTGGAAAAGACTTCTATTTCAGAGCAGAATATTTGCCACACATTTTAGTACTAAAATATGACTTATTGTTATGATATGCTTGCACATTGCTTCAAAAGGGAAACTGTCATAGGCCTTAGATAATGGCATACTTGACTTTGATTTTCCCATATGTGAGTTAGGAATGATAATCCCTGCTATGAGCCGTCAAAGCAGTTCCTGTAGAAATTCTGAGACCTTGGAGGAAATGTGTGGAGGGTTGGGTATTATGTAGGTCATTTGCTGGGTTTGCTGAATGAGCACTACAGTTTGATCGACTTTTTCCACCTTTGTAATTTATGTTATCACATGTAAATTTGAACTACACATCTTTTCATGCAAGTTAAGAAAAATCTTTTATATTTCTACTTGAATACAAATTCTCTTTTCTTACCAGTAATACATAAAGAATTATAAATGTCTAATTCTATTTCATTCACACTTGCCTGTTAGGGATGGGCTTGTGCAAACTAGCCTCACAAAGTGAACCTAAGTCAAATTCTCTAGGAAAGTCACAACAACTCTGCCTCCTAGGAGGGAGGTGGCAACTGTCAGTGAAGTGGAAAGGTAGAATTTGATATACTGGCTGACTAACATGTTTTGAGGAGGAGCCCTATCAGAAAGTCCTTGTTTTCAGGGACCAGAGTCAGAGCAAAAATTCAAGGCTTGGGGTCAGAATCGTAACACTGTATAAAGTGGGTCTTGGTTTATGACAATTTCTATTTTCTGCTTCCGAACATGATACAGAAGAGCAGAGAAAGTGAGCATATGTAAGCTATTTTAAGCTGATTGATGTCAACATTTATGACTACTTCTATTTGAAGTATATTGACATACCTTTTACAGTCATTTAGACTGATGCTTTCCTTCACTGGGTGCGGAATGCACTGGTTTTCAACTTCAATATTCATAGAATCTCTGCTATTCACATTGTCAAAGATTTGCCTTTGGTGTGTTTTGAGGTAGGGCACAGGAAACTTCAACTTTAATAAATTCTGTACTTGATTTAGGGGCAGGTGGTCTGGGTACATTATAGCATGATTCATAAGGGCTTTACGAGTCATGTTTTAGTCAGGTAACCACCGGTGAAGTACTCATTCCTTTCTAAGCATCTGCTTCCGTCTGTGTAAAATGTAGATTGTAATATATAACTATTCCAACATGTAGGTTGTGGCGATCATGAGCATAAGCAAAGCACAGCATGCTCCTAGCTCCCAGGAGGCACTGGTTAACTGGCCTCTAAATTTTGAGTAGGTTAATTCTTATTCTAGGACAGACACAGATGACATACTTGCCTCTGCCCCTTTCACATAGCCCCGTGTTAAGATCTGCGCCCTTAAGACAGGGATTCTGTTTAAAGACTATGAGAAACAGTAAGAGAGTTTAAAGACGATCAAAATTCTAAGTTCTTCTAAGCTGGTAGCACATCTACCAGGTTTTGTGTCCAGTCCCCCAAAGGAGCCCGAAGCCTAAGCCTGAGTATCAGGCCATGAAGCTGAGCTCCACAGTTGCTCCTTATTTCTGTACAAGGAGAATTAAAAGTGAGCTCTGGTCTCCATATACAGAGAGCCTTCATTTTCCCCTCCTCTGCACTTTCTTCTGTGCTATCCACTGAGCCACCCCAGCAGAACAGAAGGCAGAGGAGGAACCATTTCTTCATGGCTCAGCTCAGACAAACAAAGGAGTGAAACTGATGCTGTTGACCTGTGGTCTGGCTCCTGAATTAAGAATGTACTGAAAATGGGGTAACCAAAGAGAAGGGCTGCGGAGAGCAGGGCTGCCGAGAACACTGCATAGAGCAGAGTTACAGAGAGCAGGACTGCAGAGAGAGGGCGCAGAGAGCACTTCCGAGTTCAGGGCTGCAGAAAGCAGGGCTGTAGAGAGCAGGGCTGCAGAGAGCAGGACTGTAGAGAGAGGGCTGCAGAGAACTAGGCTGCAGAGAGCAGAGCTGCAGAGAACTAGGCTGCAGAGAGCAGAGCTGCAGAGAACTAGGCTGCAGAGAGCACGGCTCTAGGTAGCAGGACTGTAGAGAAAGACTATAAAGAGAAAGGTTGCAAAGAGAGAAAGTATCTTTGAAGTTATTTGTGAATTTCTGGGCTTGCACATGTGCTGCATCTACATCTAATCCAAATTACTCCACCAAACATGTCGAGAGTGGAATTAACAGACATCTTCATACCAGGTTATAGTGTGACTATTATATGGGTCACATGCAAGACAGATTCTAGTGGTACTCCAAAGGCTTGGAAATTGAACCAATATTATATTCAAAATATTGAAAAGTGTGATGAAACTTTCAGCTTAGGCCTAAGCAGGTCAACTTCTAAAAACAATAACATCAAAAAGACTCTGTAGAATTTAAGCAAGACTTAGAAGTTCTATTTTAATTATTTTTATTTATGTGTATGTGTATATAGCTTCTTATCTCTAAGTGCACCAGGTACATGTAGGTGCCAAAAGAGGTCAGAAAAGGGCATCAGAACCTCTGGAATTGGATTTACAGGTGGTTGTGAGCCTTTTGATGCTAGTCCTGGGAACCAAACTTAGGTCTTCTGTGAGACAGCAAGTACTCCTGACCCCTGAATAATCTCTTTAGCCCTGACTCAGAAGTTCTAAGTACAACATTTAAAACACCTGGGATTCTATCCAAAATTATTCAACTTATGAAGAATCTGTACTTTCATATGGAAAAACAAAAATAAGTATATGCCAATATCAGGACAACACAGATATAGCAATTAATTCACAAGGAATATAACATAATTGTCTAAAAATTCTTATATAAGCATTATAAATTGCCCTATGGTGCATGCATTTAATCCCAGCACTGGAGGCAGAGGCAGGTGGATCTCTGAGTTCAAGGCACCTAGTCTACAGAGTGAGTTCCAAGATAGTTAAGGTCACACAAAGAAAACCTGTCTTAAAAACAACAGCAAAACAACAACAACAGCAGCAGCAAAAGAAGCATTATAGGCACTGTAAGTAAATGGGAAGGTAGAAGTGTTTAGCAAAGACATTGAGGATATGAAGAGCCAAATGGGTGTAGTGCCATTTGCATGGCTTTGTTGGGAGTGGTAAGT